ATTTGAAAAAACTGCTTCAACTAACTTTAACTGCTGGCACAGTTCACAAACAGTTAATACAAGCCAGCAGAGTGGGGACCAGGACTTCTTATCCTACTACAAAGGTTTGCATGTGCAAGGGATTAATTTGTACCTCAAGGAAATAATTAAGGATGACTTTGCATTTTTTATTATCTTAAAACACAAAAACTTTGTAACCAGGAACTGTGCAAATGAAACTAACCTTTTTTTTCAACTGAAGTTTATCTGTTGTTATTATTATTTATTTTGCAAGTTTATGGGAGGTAACGGGTGTCAATCCACAGCCCAGCCAGGCTTTTTGAAACAGTGCCCAGAAGCACACTGTCTGTGAGAATCATAGAATCATAGAATCAACCAGATTGGAAGAGACCTCAAAGATTGAGTCCAACCCTACCGTCATTACTAGACCATGACACTAAGTGCCACAAGAAACCTCTCGTAGACAATTCTGTGGTATTTCTGCAGCCATGCTATTATTAGTAGCAAACGTTTTGGGTGGAGGGAGGTACTCAGATCAGGGTCATATCACAGATATCTGTTTTGTAAGATTTAAATATGCTTTCTAAAAATAAAAATCAGACTAATCTGACAAGAATGCCTGGAGAGAGCAGCCTAGGGCCCAAATAACACTTCTGTGCATTAGCATGAAGCTGTCTTCTGTGCTCCAACAGAGCAACGTCAAACACATAGTCAAACTTGTAATCAAAAGTTTGGAATGCAAAGCAGAGCACCCAGAATTTCTAATTTTAGGACATCTATTTTCTACTCTGACTGCAGCAGGCTCGTTGTCTTGCTTTATTCACATGGTTTGCCACAAAGCAGTTATTTGGGCTAGGATAGGACAGGGTATGGGTGAAGGTGCATATTTGCTGATAAAGGTGCCAAGACTGCTTGCTGAGTGCAGGTGGAAGAAGCTAAATGAGTCAGGTGTAATATCCTTCCCCTCGGCCCCTGAGCTGTTTCACATGATTTCTGTGTTGGGATGATGGATGCAAGATGACTACATCCAGGTTTTAGTCTCTTATTCCTTCTTTATGCATTTCTAAATGGCTTCATGCAAATAGGGGCCTACTGACACTACAGGGTGCTCCACAGAGGATGTGCTACAGAAGGAAGAACAGGTCTGTCTTTGCTTCTCACATAGATTTAGGGAGATAACAGAAGAGCAGATAAAGATGCTGGTAGCCAGCCTTTCCCTCCTTGTTCATGTGCTCATTGCAACCAGAGAGAAAGGGGCAAACCAATTAAAAGTGGTTAGTAATACAAACCTGTCAGAAAGCTGTAAGTGTATGCATGGTGGGAGAAGAGGCACCAGCCTTAAATGGCAAACCCTGATGCCAGAGCATCTATTTGAGCAGGGCAATGGACTCCTGCTTTAGGTGCCAGCTGGACTGTAACTATTGCAGTCCATCCTCTGCCTCATGTCTGCACACTAAGATATTTCTACTTACTCCAACTTCCAGCTATTGAGTACATCAGTAGCAGAAAGGCCAGGCCCTGCCTGTGGGAACATGGACAATCATGTATGCATGCTGTCCCACCCCAAGGCCCCAGTTGCCTCTGATTTTGCCTCTCCTTCTCCCAATTCATGGCAAAAATACATTCTTATGAATTGGTCTAGCTTCAGAAGATAGGTCCATGGTGTCATACAGGCTTCTGTGGCAATGTTATTACCAACTACCAAAATAAACTCATTAAGTTCAGATTCCCTGCTGCCACCCAACAAGATGGTCTAGAGTACTTTTACTTATGTAGCATCCTTGTTAACATGCCAAAGGTTTCTTTAATAACGGTACATGTCCTGTAAATTAGCACACTTTTTTTCCTTGGGGATTTAGTCAATTACGGAAGTAAAACACTCACCTGAACAAGAAAAAAAGTTCCACATACATGGTCTACTGAAGTCTTCTTTACCTAATTGAAGTTTGGAACTGGTTGCATTGGTGGTCTTTTGTTTTATGGAAACTCACAATTGAACCAAAGAAAGGAACCGTATTATTTGCAAACATTGTGTGTTCTAAGACTCTGTTAGTGAGTGATAGAACAGCTTTATTTGGGCACTCTAATCGAGCAGGTACAGCAACTAAAAATTATGAAAAAATTTTAACATGCACTTTAAGCTATCTAAAAATCCAAAGCTGATACTTGGGAAGTGAAAAATTCTGATAGTTTTCATCTGACTCACCATGTCTTAGAGTTGTGTATGCCCAAAGGAGTCCTACTGATATGACAGTGATTCAGCATGAGAGTTCATTCACGAGGCTGAAGTAGCTTTTAGTCATATTGGAACTTTTCAGTCTGCCTTATCATCCACTGCCCTCTGTAAGCAGAGCCAATCCTATTGAAAGTTAAACATTTTCAAAAGGAGCAAATGCAAACCCATGTAGGCAAAGCTAGAACACGTTTCAACTTTTAGGAGGCATTTCAGGTGTCTCTATTAGCTGTACCTTTTCCCAGAAATAAGAGAATCAAGGTGACTTCTTTAGGCACATCTCTGTAGGGGAGTGATACAGCCTAGCTGCATTGTACTGAAGTCTCAGGCTAAATCTATAGTATTTCAGGAAGTATCTTCTGCTGAGTGTGGTTTAGAGCTCCAATGTAACCATTACAGTTGCACAATGGATGAAAGAGGGTCATTAAGACATATAACAGACTGCAAGACAAAATTTGCCATAGTCCATTATATACATTATTCTAAATAGCAAGGATTACCTACCAAGGTGACTGATGGCAGCAGAGAGTGCAAACTGTGCTAATGTGAAGTCTGCCAGGAAAAGCATTGCATTTAACACATGAAAATCTACGAACATGCTGCAATTTGTAAAGGCATATTAATGACTTCATAAGGTCCCCATAGCAAGCTACCTTTCCATGCCAAACGTTACTGGGGAATCTGTTTCTTCAGTGCCAGGAACTGATTTTAGTGGTTTGGGAAAGCACTATTGCAATGCTCACATGCAGCAAATCTCCTTTAAAGGAGAAGTCTGTGTGTAATGCACAGTGACAGGATGTAACACCATTCATAGTTTCACACATTGGACATGATGTATATACATCTAAGATACCAAAACCTGTGATATATTTTTGTAATTTTTCTCTTTTTATTTGTCACACAGACTGACACAATGTGCAGTGTGGAAACACTTTTGCAAGCAAGGCAATGCTGGCTGAAGGGCAAACTTGCAAAAGAAAAAAAAGTGGGAGGGGGTGTCAGATGTTAGGCTGTAAAGCAGTATTTTAAAGCACTGAAGATGCCAAAGGCTTGGCATCTGTGACTATGAAAATATGAACACAGATATATGGGATGCATTTTAGAATAATATTTTTCAAACTACATTATTAAGAAAAAATAAAGAAGCAATTCTCTCATAATCAGTATATACCAATCCTATACTAAGTCTCTTAAAAAAGCTTGATTTTTATTAGGTGAAATAATTCAATGAATCAATGAAATCTAGCCTAAGTTAACCATATTTTATAAGGCATTTCCAGTTAGTATAATTTACTACCAATTTTACATTTAAATTTTGCTATCTGTCCTCAGCCTTTTTGAATCAAGACCTATTAAAAAAACCGGCAGTCCATAGTGTCTGTAATGGTATCCCTGCTTTTACTGAAAACCTTGTCAACAAAGCACCCTTCTGAAAAGAACATTTTCCCTAAAATCATAATATTTTGCCAGTGTACCCTAATCAAATGCAATAAAATCAAGTGGCATTGAAGAATTAAACTCAAATCACAAAATGCAGTGTGAGCCTTCATATGGCCAGATAATAATTTTTTAAAAATGCAATTATGTCTCCTTCATTTTTAGCCATGCTTTTTGCATTTCACCTTTCTTTTCACCTTTCTCTTTTATTTCCCTTTCCTTCTCCACTTCCTCTTCTTTCCTCCATCTTTTTTCCAAATCATTCTATCTTTCATCTACTATCCATATTGTTGCCTGTTTTTTTTCTTTTCCTTGTTGCTTTTGTCCTCCCTCCATGGAAGTCACAGTCTGCTCTTATTCCTTGAAAGTGGAGAACAGAGGTTGTGAATGAGAAACTACCACATCTGTAGCTGGATGAAGGGAGATTTCGAGATCACTTGGACTGCACCTTCAGGTTGAAGGGGTTTTTTCCTTTAATATTGCTTTTGTCATTCTGATGGGTTTCTTCTAAGCAACCATAGAAATAATCATCAGCCAAAAATGGCCTAATCTCCTTGTTTCTGTGGTGGCATCTGTGGCAGCCCCAGAGTTAGTGAGTTCAGGATAAAATCTCAGCTTGGGGAGATGCTAGGAAAACTCAAATAGGAAGACAGGCTTGAACAGCCACTGCAGCTATAAGTAAAGGAGGATAAAACAGCCAAAGCAGGAATCCTGTGAGACCTACAGAGCACAGGCACTCAAGCAGCTTTGTGAAATGGACAACGAGTAAGTCTACGTCATGTTGGCTTTGTGGTCTGTGGGTACTGGCCATCTTTCTGAGGCAGCACTTACACCTGGGTCTTCAGGGGTATCCAAGATCTCTTAGAGGAGCTGGACTTAGAAGACTAACTCAACAGAAGCCATGATTAAAGTTGGAATGTGTAATAAACACCAAATATGTTCCTTAGTTTACAGTTGAGAAAACAAAAATGGATAAGAAAATCAGAACAAAGCATCCTATTTCCTAGCATTTATTGTGTGTATGAGATAGTACTTACTGTATGATCAAAGTCAGTGTTCCTCTGTAGAACCAACCCTGTGCTAGTGTGGGTTGCTTACAGCAAGGTAGGTGGAAAAATGGGTTACTCTGTGTGTAACCAAGGCAGTGAATAAATGCACCTCAGCATGTGTGAGTGACATCAGGCAAGCAGATTGCATGTCAGAGAGCAGCTGGAAGAAAAGAACTCCTTGTGATCTGGCTAGCAAGTGGATACATAACACCAATATGTCTGTTTTATGTCACATTGCCGCTTTTTTTTTTTATGTAGTAGTTTCAAAGGAGGACAAAAACCTATTTCAATGATGTCAACAGAATGTGTTCAGCCACTTGATATCCCAGATGACAGACTGGACAAGCGAGATTCACAGTGTAACCATTTAGGTAAGTATTATTAGATGATGTCATTGCACTAATGAGAGGTGTTGTCTTCACATCATTAGGTCCTGTCCAGTGTTCATTTTTCCCCTCCAGCAATACAACTGAGGCCTCATGAAAACCGATACATTACACCTTCTGCTGACACTTCTGATGCCAGATGGAAAGGCAAAGAGCATTTTTCCTGCATGCAAATGTCAGCTGAAGCTCTAGAGAGAATCTAATGAAAGAGGAGAAAGGAAATAGTCATTGATCTTTTCCCTGATAGAAAAAGTAAATCAGTTTCTTAATTTATACCACAGTAAACTGAAAGCTCGGATATAGCTGAGCTTTCCCAGAACACATTTTCCATATGCAATTTCAGTAAAATTTGTCAAGAATCCCATTTGCCTTCTTTGGGGCAGCTTTCTAAAAATGTTTTGTCCTTCACAATCATTTTCCTTTCTTGAATCTACTTCATACGTAACTTTTGCACTAAGCATGCGAGAGTTGTGTTTGCTCTGCCACATTACCAGATTTCATACTTGATAGATGTGCGTTTTGCATATTCATGATCTTTGCCTCTGCTTCAAATGCTATTACTTCACTTTCATCTTCAAAAATTGTCCTGAAGAAAAAAACCAAATATTTGTTTGCTCATTGTTACCCTTGTGATGACAATAATGAAACACAAATGCATTTTCACTTGCTTGTCAAAAAGTCTCTCTGAAGGCAAGCACAGTTTTATATTTTTTTTTTATTTGTCCTGTAAGGAAGGTATCCTAGTTCTGTCTCTGCCACATGGCATTTCTAGCTGCAGGCACCACTTTTACCACTCCTGGTATACCAAATATAGTTGGTCCATAAAATTTCTTACTTAAATATATACAGAATGAGTTCCTTCTACAGTTGTGAAACTGAGGCAGTGGGAGGATAAATGAGCTCATTAGGACCATGAAGGAAGCCTGTTATGGCCAGAAAAAGAACCACATCTTTCAGGGACCTAACCCAGAGGTCATAGCAGCTGTCACATAACAGCAGCCTTAAATAGTGTGAGAGAGCCCAGAATGGAGACCCACTTACATCCAAGTCTGCAGTCAGGGGTTGGGTAGGGGTGTGGGGAACCCAACTGAAGCCAAACAAGCAGCTTTTAAGAATTTAAAGCATTGGTTTGTGTGATGCTAGTAATGAGAGCTGTTGCAAAGGAGTGGTTAGAATGCTTAAAGAATCACTTTCAAAGGTATTGCCAAAACGCAGGTTTTAATATGAATTTATGAGAGTACAACTTCAACAGAGTTCAATAGCAAAGTTCATTCTATTGCTTACTACATTGATGAAACATCCATAAATAAATTGGATTAGAAACAATTTGGAATCAGTTACACAGAGTCTGAGGATGCAAGAAATAAGGGTGCAGAGGATATGGATACAAAAAGAAAAGGGTGTAAAAGGATTTAACAGCAATTAATCATTGACTAATTGAACATTTTGATAAGTGATTCAATGGAGTCGCTCCAATTATGACAATGGCAGTTATAGTTTCACAATAATGACATTCATACCGTAATTAATTCACATGTATGCATGCAGGCAAAGAAATATATACATCTATATCTACGTGTATAAAAGTACCTAAAAAAAAATCCCCTCAGGCTTAGTGAAATATTCATACAAAATCCCTTAGCATTTCTCAACAGGAATGGGCTGCACCTCAGGGAGTATGTATGTGTGTAGGGGGTGTTTGCCTAGACCTCATTGTCAGCATTGGTCTTTTGAATATTGCAAACTTGAGGGTTCATGGGCTCTGAGAGGCATCCCACTCAGAGGGAGGTGCTGGTGCATTCCAGCAGAGCTCAGACAACCTCACTTAGCACTGCTGTTTATAGGGTCACAAGAAGGTTTTTAAAAAAAAGTCCAGTAACAACAGTACCATAACACTCAGACTATGATTCATTTTATCAAAAGGCCTCGTGACAATGGTTCCATTTCACTTGGGCTATGATTCAGGTAAGTTACTTATCAAGGCTAACAAGAGTAACTGTTCTTTGTTCTTCATCTTGATCGGGCAGCTGACATTCCTAGTATGGTCAAAATTGTTCCTACTTTTACCATGCAAGAGCACATGGAATGGTCAGGGACACTTCACTGCCCAACTGGTAGAGTCAAGGGGCACTTCACTGCTGAGCTGGTTCAACCAAGGCTTTTCAGAAGCTCCTGAGATCGTAGACCAGGCCTGAGTATGAGGTGAGGGAGGATGATGCACCACCACAACAGGGTATCTTCAACATTTTCAGCTTGCATAAGCACCCAGAAATGCAGATCTTCGCTGAAAAAAACGTGCTGACCATCTGAGTCATCTGAGTCAAGGCTTGATTTCAGGGAAAATCAGAAATCCAGTATCATGTTATGTAAATCAAAAGCAAATACTCACTGCTCAGTAGCTCTGGAAATAAAGCCAACTCTTGAAGGGAACAATATACTGGCATATTTTACCAGTACTTCAGGCTGATCCCACACATGTAAAACTTATCTTCACAAAAGTGCCCTTAAAGATACGGTCCACACAGTTAGCACTGGGTGAAACAGTGGTGGCATGGAACCTTCACATATAATGATGTAGCCTTCCCTCCACCACGTCAACACATAGCTGCTTGCACCTCTCTCCCTCTGTTTTATGTCTACTGCCTACAATACAGAAGGACAACCTAAGTCACTTGACTCCCATGTAGTACTGCACAGAGACCTCTTTTGCTGATTTTGTAGATTTTTAAGAGATTTTTCTTTACAGGCATTATAATTCACTTGGATTAAAGTCATATATCAAAGCATTTGTTTCCACCATCTGGTTTATTATTTCCCCTCAGTTTCAATTTCTATATTTTTTCCCACAGAAGATATTTCAGAGCAGCTGATTAAGAGCTGTGACCTCAAAAAAAACCCAAGAAAAGGTAAAATCATCCCAGCTTCCCAAAACACTGAACAGGAGCAAAAAAAGCCAAGGAGAAAAGATACACCAGCTTTGCACACTCCACCACCTCTATCAGGTGAGCAATAAATCTCTTGACTTTGAAATCCCAACTCAGCTGTGGGGATTGAATCTGGGCAAAGTCCATAGACCCCTAATTTAGTTATGTCCCCTTGGATGTGTACAGGAACACAGGTCCATGCATAGGCACCTGGGTAGGCAAGTGAACACAGAGTCTGACTTTCTCAAGGGCATTGCTTGTTAGTTGAAGGGTAGGTAAGTGGGTGTATGGTCTGGAAGATGTGCTCCCTTGGAGCCCATAGTCTTGCTGCTAAATGGTGTTATATTTATGTTTTAAATTATATGTATTTACATGTAGCTGCTGAGCCATGCTAGAAGTCCCAATGTGATAAGTTCTGAAATCAAAACGGTTCCAGTTCAGTCCCTGTACTTTCTCATGAAACTCATACTGAGTGCTTGGGGGAGGCTGAAGGGGATAAGGCTAGGAGTTGACCAGAGAAGCACACAAGCCATCTGCAGGATGCTCCTCCTGAAAATCATAGGGTTCATGTACTTGTAGGGACTCTGGAAAAGGGTGGGTGTTTTAGGAAGCTGAAAACCACCACACCAACAAAGGGGCTCCTTGTAAGATGCTCCCTGCTGCGGTACCTCTACAGATGTTTGAAAGCCAAAGGCCACCAACCTAGGGAAGGGAAGAATAAGCAGGTGAATGCCACTGAAACCTGACAATCTTCCAAAAACAGCAGTAGGAATAAATGTTTGCCACTCTCTGCTAACAAGCACTCTTTATTGTGCTCTCCAAGGAGAGAGCTGTGCTCTTGTATCATCAAATTCTTCTTCCCATGCTGCACAAACTCAGAGGAGTTAGCCAGTAACTAGTTGCATGGTTCTCTGCATATCTGCGTCAATTCACCAAGTCAAAAAACAAGCAGCTGGCATTTTCCAGTATTTGTAATGCAGAAATTGAATTCATCTCTGTTCAGTTTTTACATGTGTCTTCCATCAGCAATTCTCTCTTAGCAGAGTGGCTCAGAGGCTGGAGAGCTGCATTTTGTGCCGGCAATTGCCATATCATAAAGAAAACATTGTTTTACCAGTTAGAATGGGCCATTTCTGTGTGGTCACATTACTCCCAACCAGAGGCTTGAGCATCTGTCTGATTAAGCTACCTTGATAAGATGTATAAGCTCTTGGAATAGAAGACTATACTCATCTTTACTGTGATTTCTGATGGGCTGCAGTTTAGTACATGAAGTACAACCAGAAACCAGCTGACCTGATAGCATCGTTGTCTATAGCCTACGGAATATAATTTACCTGGGGGAAATGTAGGGTAGGTTTGACATGCAGAACACAACATGCACTCATGCAGCCTTACTTCGGAGGAAATAATTTGGAAAGTTACACAGGTGCAGGTTTCTTCAATGTGAACAAGACTTAATTGGCATTTTCTTTTTTTTTTTTTCCTGCTTGCAGGCATACTTTCAGACTTTTCTGATAATCTGCTGAAAAGATATGGTATTACAGAGAAGCCACAGAGAGAGAGAGTGAGTCCAGTATCTCAATTCACTGAACTGGAGCAGAAAAAGCCCAGGAGAAAAGATACACCTGCAATACACATCCCACCTTTAATAATAGGTAAGAAAGTTAGCTAAAGGTCCTCCAAAGAAGCAAAAAATGGCTAGGGTCAGAGGTATGCTTGGGAGGAGGCTGTACTTGGGAGCTCCTGTTGAAGTGGACCTATTTGGTCAAAGTATGTGATAACTGTAGTGGTTCACAAGTCTTTACATATCTCACTCTCTGGGGATAGAAAGACGTTTAGTCACCTGATTATCTTGCAAACTGCGATCCTACTTTTCTGAAAGGCCAACTACTGCCCTACGTTTCCAACCTGAGCACACACAAATTTTTAGGTCACCAGCACCAAAATGCCTCAAATGACCTAGAGAAAACCTGTCCTGATCAACCCCCTCTTCACTCCCTGGTCCCTGACATGCACCGAGGAAACCAAGCTGTGATGAACTCTCATAAACAGCTCCTTAAAGACAGTTCTGTCCTTTAGCATAACATGCAATACATACGTGCTGCATAATATGCTAACAGGGAAGGGAAGGGAAGGGAAGG